CCATTAATATGTGGTATCCTGCTGAGATACTTTGTGTGGGGAACCTTGATATGGAAATAATCCTTCAGCCTCTTTCAAACCTGTAACTGTACTCTCCTTACTACGTTTCCTGTGTCTTCTGTGTATATCTCTTCCTGTACACATGCACCTCATTTGCACTGTAAAGGTGGAACGTTAATTTTCATTGTAAGTCCAAGTATTTATTTCGTGTCTCCTTTACTAAGGAGAACTGTAGCTACAGAAGACAGGAAAAAACAGATGAAGTGGAAGGCATTAGTTGTCACTCCTAGAGCACAGTTAGAAGCATGATACGAAACGAATGGTTTATGTCTTTAAAACAAAGTATGCCATTAAGTGGGTAATGCTAAGAGGAATTTTACCTATCCTATAAATACGAGTGAATCTTTTCAACTTCAAATCCTAGTACGGAGACAATTTACAGTTGCAATCAAAATTATGCACACAATTTAACTTCAGCACCATCTGTAACTCTGCTGGTATTTTAATAACGAATAAAATTATGTCTTGGCAACAGAAATCCCATTTAAATAAAATACCTCTAAGTTCCAAGCAAGGTCTCCAAGAGGAAGCTACAGGAGCTCTGATTTATCCTGAAGTCGGCTACAGGAGCTCTGATTTATCCTGAAGTCGCCTTAATGTTTACTACAGAACATATATGTCTACATTTTCAGGTTAGCTATAAAGAAGTTCTTTACTGTGAGGATGGTGAGGCACCGGAACAGCTTGCCCAAAGATGTGTTAAATGCTCCGTCCCTGGCCGCGTTCAAGGCCAGGTTGGGCAAAGCCTTAGGTCACATGGTCTAGAGTGAGATGTCCCTGCCCATGGCAGTGGTGTTGGAACTAGATGACCTTAAGGTCCTTTCTAACCCTAACTATTCTATGATTCTATGATTTAAACAGTAAGCTGTGGACAAGAGGTCTGTGTGATTCTGTGAAGCCCTTCTTAACCTGCCTCTGAAGCTCAGGGTTTGCACAGTATGCCTGCCCTCATTGCACAACGTAGGACTGGTTCAGAGCTATAAGCAAGCTCTAATCCAGGCACTCCTTGCTGACATGCCAAGCTCTTGAAGAGGAGCACTTACAGGAGGCAGTTATCTTCCCTTAAAATAGCTTTTATTACTGATGATGTAGGAGGCATGTTACTTCATTACTGAGTTTGCCTTTTGGACTCCATTGTGCAACCTACCCACAACAGTTTCCAAGTTGTAATTTTCTTTTTCATCTTCTCAAATTCGTGTGTTTTGCAAAAAGAAGGCAATTTTTACTCTGTTGGCATGGGATGCCATGTACCTACACCTCCTCCGGTTGCATTATTGAGTGATTCTAGTCCTGCGTTCCTACTCTGGGTACTGCTCTCTGGTGGTATTTTAACTCTTTAATAGAGTAGCTGCAGCATAAACCACAGTCTTAACTGTGGCTTGCCAAATACTTTCCATTTGCAGTGATATGAGATCATTGGTATAAGTATGGTGCTACTTATCATATTGAAAATAGATCTTGGCTAACAATATACTACCATGTAGAAATACTGCAAATTTCACAGTCAAAGATTCTCTGCTCATTTGTCTCTGTGAGGGTACAGCACTACTAAAAGCTGTTCAAATCTGATCTATGGGAAATCTATGGAGCCTAGGGATTGGCAATCTTTTAACTGATCATATCCTCTTCATCAAAGCTTTCATTAAGGAAATATTACTGACCTTTCTGGATGGCTTTCACAGACGGAAATCAATGTGTTTTGTACCACTGTCTCTTTAAATGGACAAGTGAAATAGCAGCAGGATAGGTATGTTAACACATCTCAGTCATGGCTGGTACCAACCCTGCCCCTGTTCCAGGGATTGATCCTTTTCAAAGGACAGGGTGAAAAAAACATCAGCGTGATCATGATAGATTTTGGGGGTTTATGAGTTTCTGAATACTTCAGTGTTCACTAATCAGAAATTGTTTAAATTTATATCAGTTGCTGCCACTGAACTTTATCTTAAGCTTGAAGAGAGTTATAAATTGGATCATACTGTGCCTACAAACACTGATGTAAAATATGTACCAGAAAAATAAATAAAGTTGTGCTGAATCTCTGTTTTCTATGCAAACTCAATTTTGATAATGTTAGCTGTGTTTCAGAAGCCTGCTATCATGTCCCACTACTCTGCTTTCGTGAGACCCCACTTGGAGTACTGTGTGCAGTTCTGGTGTCCAGAGGAGACCAGAGGATGGCCACAAGGATGATCAGGGAGCTGAGGCACCTTCTGTATGAAGACAGGCTGACAAAGTCGGGGCTGTTTGGCCTGGAGAAGAGAAGGCTGTGTGGAGACCTCATAGCAGCCTTCCAGTATCTGAAGGGATGCTGGAGAGGGACTCTTCATCAGGGACTGTAGTGATAGGACAAGGGGTAATGGGTTTAAAACTATAACAAGAGTAGTTCAGGTTAGATATAAGGAAGAAGTTTTTTACTGTTAGGATGGTGAGGCACTGGAACAGGTTGCCCAAAAAAGTGGTAAATACTCCTTCCCTGGCAGTATTCAAGGCCAGGTTGGACAGAGCCTTGGGTGACATGGTCTAGTTTGAGGTGTCCCTGTCCATGGCAGTGGGGTTGGAACTAGGTCATCTTAAGGTCTTTTCCAACCCTAACCTTTCTATGATTTTATGAAATCTTGTCTCTCTAGGACTTGGATATATTTTTCTAAGGTTTGGGTTTTTTTTTTTCATATTTGTCACAGGTGTTGAAAGCCATCAAGAAACATAGAGCTTTATCAGATATTTTGGCAAAAGGCCTTTTCTGAAGTTCACTAGTTTATGGAATATTAGCTAAAGCTATTATCTGGCATGTTTTAGAGGAGCCCGAGAGTTTTGGTGTCTAAATCTCACTTGGATGCTCTTGAAGTAATAGTTCTATTTCTTTTAAATTTTATATTTGTTTTAAATTTAAGTACAGAGGAAAAGAGGTTTCATTGTATTTATTTAGAGGGCAATTAAAGCTACAAGGAAGGAGTAAACAACAGTAAACCAAACAGCTTCATAATAAGTTAGTTTCTCTATTTTTATTTTTTTGATTCATCTAAAAATAAAAAGAATGAATAAAAATCAGAAAAATCAAGTTGCCTATGGGTAAATATTTTTTTCATTTCAGAAGCAACATTCCTGATGACAGTTCTAATATTGAGCATAAAACTGTAAATGCTATCCTTAATTGCCTATTTCTCAGAAGTTGGCACAGTCAAGGTCAGCACCCATTTCTCAAATGAAAGTGAACATCTGTATTGTTACATGATTTGCATGAAGAAGATGGCTTATACGTTCAATTAGACACTTTTTAAAATCTTATTTTCTAATTATCAGGTCAGAAGTAAACATAGGAAAAAACAACTGTCTGGCAAATGCTTTTCTTTCTGAGTGTCCAGATGTTTTAAATGATTCTGTAGACTAGAATTTTTTTTTTGTTAGAAAAAATGTTTTCAATAGTCACTTAATGCAGTTGACATAAAGAAGGGGATTTTTTGTTCTGACAGGCAAACTGTCAAGGCAAAAGGAGTAGTTTCAGAAACTAGGAATCTGGGAGCACCTGCAATAAAGGTCTGTTTCTGTTACACCAAATGAGGGAGATAAAGTCTCTTGAAATGAGTGAGCTGGGATTATATGGTAAGAATTAGGATATATTGGTTTTGCTTTTGTTTTTTCAGTGGGTCTTCTCTGACCTTGTGCAAGCACAAAATGTTTCTTCCCTTTGTTGTCTGCAACCACCACAAAAGGAAATATGATAATAATAGCCTTTCTTAGAGAGTTTTATAATCTTGAGAGGTGTGTTGGGTGTTTTTTTAAATTCTGCCTTCTCAGGGAAGCAGGGTCTATGGGATGATTCTCACTGTTTGTTCACATCTTACTTTTTTGAGCCCTGTGGTCTATTTTGGCTACATTTTTTAAAGGTAGAACAATCTGAAATCTGTACAGTTTCTATGGGTAGTGTTTCTGACAAGGGACGCATATGCTGAATATGATCTGAATTGTTGTGCATGCTCTAGCTGACCAATGCATCCTATGCACTTTACTATACTACATATTTCTATATGTAGAAATTTCATTTGTCATATAAAAGCTGTGTCATGTCCTGCACAGTGCAGGACACTGGTGCCTGAGATCCTGCTAACCTGCAGGACTTTCTAGTAATTAGATCGTGTTTGCTTCATGGGAGATTCAGTTAAAAATGAGAGGGTTTTTTTATTCCCTTATGAAATTCCTCACTATGTTTTTGAGTGTGTATATGACAGTGTTGTAATGAACAAACTTACATTACCAAATTCTATCCTTATTCAGACATTATGGGCTCAAAAATCCAACTTGGGTGTTAAGCTACCCCATCTGTCGTCAGATGAGGATGTGAAAGTAAGAGGGGAAGGACATAGCAGACTACTCATTTGAGCTAACAGAAGTAATTTGGCCATGTATGTCTGTGTGAGCTCGGGGAAGAAATTAAGGAAGGGTTCAGATTTTATAATTGCAGTGCAGCATAGGGCTCTTGTGAAGCTTGGTACATGCGTTTTACGCGTTGCAAAAGGCCAGGTGGCATATCCCTGTGTTCCTGCTCTGTGGGGAGACTTTACTAAACATATTGCCTGGGGCATTCTCTAAAGTCTGCCAGATCATTACTATATTCTTCCAGTGGCTTTTCCAAGGAAAGTCACTACCCTCTAACTGGAGGGGAAATCATAAAATTTCATTCACTGAAAGGAAAACATTTTCCAGCTTTTCAAGTATTCAGTGACTTGTCAACAGCTCCCAATGTGTTGCCATCCCACCAGACTGGCATTCTGGAGGGTAAGTTTCAGTCTTGCATATAAATTCAAGCACAAGTGTGCCTTTCTGAAGTCTCTGTCTGCTAAGTCGAAACAAACACCACCTTGAAATAACACAAGTTAGCATATTTGTTGCTCATGTGATGACATCTGTATGTTTTGTTTCTTGCCTTTTTTTTTTTTTAGATAACTGTGATGATCCATTGGTATCTTCCTTACCTTCAACAGCCCTTACAAGTTCCTCTGAGCTCTTCAGTACTCACAGTCCCAGCTTTGCAAAGCTCAACAGGAGAGATGGTAAGAATGCAGTATGAAATGCCTAAACTGTTCTTTTTAATCACTTTTACGAAGAATAACCTTTTATGCTGTTTGTCTGCAGTGCACTCAGAGTGAAGTTGAACAGAGACATTAATTTGTGCTTTTGAGAGAGCTCTGTTAAGGAGCAATTCCTTTCTTTGTTATAGAAAACTTCCATTAAATTTGAAACTCTCCATGTCTTTTGTACAAGCATCCTAAAGGAAGTTCACATAGTCTTTTTGCGTTCGGAGAGTTCCCATAATCTTTAAGACTTGAAGGTCATTAGGTTTGAGGCTATATTCTAAAATGTGGGTGTTTGTAATTTGTAAAAGCTAGTATCAACTAGATATTGAAGTTCCAGTGAAATTCAGTGATAACACAGTTCTCCAGATCTAGTGAAAATGAATGAAGAAAACTTTGCAGATGTTTGCAGTGAAGAATATTTAAGGCCCAGATAATGAGTTCACGTGCAATGTGAAACTTTCTAGGATCAAACTTTGTACTAGAAAAGAGAAGTTGGCAGTACCTAGGACGTCATTTGACACTGTGCTGCAAATTTATGTTGATGGCTCCCATCTTATTCCCAAGTTAGAGCCTCTGAAAGAGGAAAGCCCTGTATTACTACATTACATGTGATTTTAATGATAAGAAACAATAGAAAGTATACTACTAGAAAAGATATTTTAATTTGGAAAAAAAAAAAAAGATAATTTACCTATTTAAACAATCCCTGAAATGTCTGTTTTAATCAAAGACTGATTGATAAATCAGCAAAGCCAGCAAAAAGACTCTCTCAGATACTTGGCACTAATGATAAGGAAGTTGCTAGGTCATTAGAAAAGTATTAAATGGAAATTACTATATCATATTTAAACTCCTGAACCGGAGTTCTTCAGCAAGGAAAAAGTCATACAGTAGTTGTTCAACATTATGTAAGTTATAAATGTTGAGCCCTGTCTTTGTCTCCAACTGCTAGCTGGGACAGTGAGTAGACATGCTTATGTGATTTTGCAAATGTCTGTAATGACTCATTTTAACTGCAGGAAAGAGGAAGAGATTCAAAGTCAATATTACTGCAAGTCAAGCTCTAGCTTGACAATATCTATCTTACTACCCCGACTTTTGTAGAAATGCATGGATGTAGTGCCAGCAGAATTAATATGGTACCTGATCCTGGGTTGGAGGAGCAATGGTAGATGGTGACTGAAGGAACTGGCATTGGAACGCAAACAGTAGATACAGTGCTGCAATTAACAGTGCCTCCAGGTAGAAACCCAGGTAAATATATTCGTTAATATAAATAGGAATGCAGCAAGTGAAGATGAATTTATAAAATACATTCCAGACCTATATCAATAGGAAGTTGTAATTCATCATGTTGATTCAGTAATAGGTAACATTAACAAGGCTGTTGTTTAGAAAAAGGCCTGCAGCAGTGAAATGTGCCATAAACCATAAAATAAAACCAAACCAAAAAAACCCAAACAAACAAAGAAAACCCCTGATCTCCCCAAAACCAACCAACACCCCCCCCCCCCCCAAAAAAAAAAAAAAACACAGAACAATCAACGACAAAAAAAAACCAAAACACACAAAGAACCCTAAAGGAGAAAAAAGGAAAAAAAGGCAAAAGAACCCCAAACCAACCCAAAACCCTACACACATTACCCATGAGTAAAGCTTTATGTGAACTGCTGAAAGCATTCAATTAAAATGATGAGAAATCTGTATGGCAATAGTAAAATAGTATAATTCTGATAAATATAATCCTGAGGTGTGAAATATATTACTTAGACGAGCGGGATTAACTGGCACTTTTGTTTACAGTAAATGATAATGAAAAATAATAAGAAAATTGCTACAATATGACTCTATAAACTAAGCTTTTTCATTTCTCTGTTAACTCTCGGCCTTAGCAGTCAGTACAGGCAACTATATATGGGAATATAAAATGTATACAATGTTAAAAAGAATTTGTTTTATGGCCAGGAATTGTTTGATCTGGGCATTAAAGTAAAATTGTGCAGCAGGAAAGCACTTAGTTGCAGCAGGAAGTCCGAGAGTTTGTAGCACAATACAAAGCCGGTTGAGCTGTTTGCAAGGCACTATAGAGTGGGAACAGGCATTCCCTTTGCTTTGTATTAATAAACCAAAAATAAGTATGGGTATCCTGAGCAGCCCTGTGAAACATCAAGGACCACTGACTGCATAACACTTGGCTTCAGTGCAGTTTTTGGAACAATTATGGCAAAATGTACAAATGGTCTGAAAAAGAAAAAAAATATTTGATCATATTTCTTGAAGTTATATGGATCTCCAACTGAGAAACCATCTGATCTTTATTCTTATATTTCTAGCATTATGATTTGTTGCCATGGAGAATGAGCAATGTATCAGATACCTCTGGTAGTTTCTCCACTAGGGCATTTTATCCACATCATGTAGAACCTCTCCCCTGAAATGATCCACAGAAAATGCGAAATATATGAACCATGAGCAATGATGGCACATGACAATGCACAGAATCCTATCAATGCTAGTGGGAATCTATTGGGAAGAAAGTGAAATTGTATGTCCCTCAGACATGATGTTGTAAAGTGCCAAATGTGTATTCACTTTACTGGGCATCTACTCTCTCTTTTGTCCTTGTGAGAAAGGCAATGTGGCATCTTCATGCATTAGTACTTTCCAGTTAACCTAAAATCAAATGTACAGATTTGTTGGGTGTAATCAGAGCCACATTTTGTCTGTTTTATGCTTATGCCACACTATTAATAAAAGATGTGTGGTCCTGCTTAATTTTCTTGTGCTCAACTGCAGGAAAAGAGTGTCAAGGTTATGCTTGTATCTGTTCAAAGGAGTTTGATGTCCTGTAAGTATTGTCTTAAGTAGCCTTCGCATCCTACATTCTTGTCTCTTGTCTTGGGCCTGCCCTGACAGATATTCCCCAGCATTAGCACAGCTCATGGGCAGAGAAGCAAATGGCTGTAAATGAGCTACTACACTCCAGATGTGCTTTTTTGCTACTTAATAAAAGAAGTATGTGGTGGGGTGTTGACACACTATAAAGAATCATGTGCATAAAAAAAACATGCAGATTGTGCTGAAAAAAAGATGCCACTTGTGCCACCTGTTCTGTATAACAGAGAAAATATGGAGGAAAAAGAATATTTCTTGATTTTTGGCACTCACAGCAGTATGGTGAGGATTTGAGATACCCTCAGAAGCAGGCAGAAGTTATGTGTTTGCTTTACTAGCAGAAATGAGAGAGGCCCAAAGGAAAATCTTTAGTTCTGTTCTCAGTCACAAAGACAATGCAGCTTTGCTGTTGCTGGGAATTTAACTGCCATTCTTAGAAGTCAGTAGAGTTACTGTCCATCTGTGGAAATGGTAATGGTGGAAGGTTTGGGAGGGGGAAATGCAGTGGGTTTTTACCCCCCGTGGGAAGAGGTGTATGAAGCATCTGCAGTTCTGAAAAGACATGATCTGTCAGAGATAAGGTCTCTCTTGCAAGACCAGTGTCTGAAAAAGTGATACTATGAGCAGGTGTCACAGCTATGTCATGTAGTTCTCATATCTAAAGAGTGACACTCCCAACAGACAGATGTGCTCATGTGAAGAGATAGGCAGTTCAGAAATGCCATGTAATCTGTGATTTCTTAGCTTAAACGCACTAGAGAGCTCTCAAATTTCCATTCAATGTGTATTGTTTGTTTGATTGACTTCAACAATATAAACCTGTTGTGCCATGTTCAAACTGGAAATTAAAAGTGCTTTGTAAAGCCAAATACTTTTGTGGAAAGCTTCTCACCTTTCTACCATTTCTGGCAGCAGAAGGGAGAGAGCATAAATTACATAGAATAGATGCTAGTTATGATGTTTAATGAGTGACTGGAAAGTACCTGTGATAATAAGCCTGGCTTAAGAACTTGGTTATAAACTAGCATAAGGAAAGCAAAAGTATTTTTTGGTTTTGTTTGGGTTTTTTGTTTGTTTGTTTTTTTTTAAATGGGAAATTCATCAAACAAATCACCTGTTATAAGTGATTTTCCTCCATCTCCCATCTCATTGTTGCTGTTTATGTTGCACAAAGACAATTGAGGAAAGATGAAAATGCCCGCATTTCTTTGAATATTTATGAAAACATCTATAACAAGCTCTGTGGAGCATTTAAGGGAACAACTTCATGCCACAGACCTGCCAGAATTTCTGAAGTTAATTTCCCACCAGTTCCTGGCCTAAAACTGTAAACAAGGCAACAACTATTGTGTTCAGAGTCTATTGCAAATCGTAGAATTGGGTTTGGAAGGAGCATTCAAGGTATATAGCTCCAACCCCCCTGGTGTGGACAGCTACACTTTCCACTAGACTGGATGTTGGATGTTATAATCCAAAAGAAGTTTCTCCATTGGCTCTTGTGAATATTAGCCACAATTCCGTGTAGGAGAAATATGCAGATTGTTGTCTTTGAACGGTTATATGGTTTGTTTCTTAAAAGCATGGCAGAAATATTCTTTATATGGAACATAAGACTGGGGGGGGGAGGGGAGAGTGTGTGTAAGAATAAATGTTAGGATTTTTAACAGGAAGCTATAGTGAACTATATAAAACCATAGTTTTATGTAAACTATATAGGTATGAAGTTAAAAGAGAGCTATGAAGTAGTGAGAGAAGAATCGAGTGAAGAAATTCCTAATGTTCTCAGTAGGTCTTTCATTTCATGCTCATATCTTAATGAAATGTAAAAAATTAAAATTCTGACACCTAATAGGCAAAGGAATTTCAGTTGAGAGTTATAAAATACAATGTCGTCCACAAAAATCAAGAATTTTCTTAAAGGGTAAAGTTACTGAAATTGAGTTTTTTGATATAAACCACATTTATCGATCTTTCAACTCAGTTTACTCTGATAAACTGCTCATGGAGCATCTTTGAGATGGATCAGTTAATAAGATTAAAATATTAAAGCAAATCCAGATATTTATAATCAAAGTTTAGTAATTCTTTTTGTTTGGAGATGCATATTTAGAATCATAGTTTGCATGAGGAATTTTTAATGCTTTACATGAAGTGCAAGGTCCTACACCTGGGTCGGAGCAATCCCAGGCACAGCTGAAGATTGTGCAGAGAAGTGATTCAGGGCAGCCCTGCAGAGGAGGATTTGAGGGTGTTGATCGGTGAGAAACTGAACATGAGCCAGCAGTGTACGCTCACAGCCCAGAAAGCCAACCATATCCTGGCTGCATCAAAAGGAGTGTGACCAGCAAGTCAGAAGATGTGATCGTACCCCTCTACTCTGCTCTCAGGAGACCTCACTTGGAGTACTGTGTACAGTTCCGGTGTCTTCAACATAAGAAGGAAATGGAGCCATTAGAGCAGGCCAGAGAGGGGCCGGAAGGATGACTGGGGGACTTCCTATACAAAAACAGGCTGAGAAGCTTGGGACTGTTCTGCCTGGAGAAGAGAAGCTGTGTGGAGACCTCCTGGCAGCCTTCCAGTATCTGAAGGGGGGCCTACAAGGATGCCAGAGAGGGGTTTTTCATCAGGGACTGTAGCGCTAGGACAACAGGTAATTAGTTTAAACAGGGGAAATTCAGAGTAGATATAAGGAAGAAGTTCTTTACTGTGAGGGTGGTGAGGCACTGGAACAGGTTGCCAACAGAAGTGGTAAGTGCTCCATACCTGCAGTGTTCAAGGCCAGGTTGGACAGAGCCTTGTGTGACATGGTCTAGTTTGAGGTGTCCCTGTCCATGGCAGTGGGGTTGGAACTAGATGATCTTAAGGTTGTTTCCAACCGTAACCATTGTATGATTCTATGAACTCTATTTCCCCCTTTCTCTACCATTGTGATTGTGTTTGTTGTACAGAGAAGTGCTTTTGTAAACCTCACTAATAATGGCAGCACAAACAATATGATGGTTTGCAGAAGGAGTGACTGTGTGAAAATTTGCTGGTTTGGAAAGTTTATTATGGCTTTCGCATCCTTCATAGCTCTGTTGTTCACATATTTCTAAGACTGTCCTGTAGTGACAGGACAGGGATAATGGCATAAAACTTAAACAGGGGAAGTTTAGATTGGATATAAGGAAGAAATTCTTTACTGTAAGGGTGGTGAGGCACTGGAATGGGTTGCCCAGGGACGTTGTGAATGCTCTGTCCCTGGTGGTGTTCAAGGCCAGGTTTGACAAAGCCTTGGCTGGCATGGTTTAGTGTGAGGTGTCCCTGCCCATGGCAGGGGGGTTGGAACTGAATGATCTTAAGGTCCTTTCCAACCCTAACTATTCTATGATTCTATGATTCTAAGACTGCAGTGAACTTTGGGTGTGTAGAGAGAATAAATGTATGCAAGTAGAAACAAGTTAAAAAAATAATCAGCCATAATTTAAGGGTGTAAAAGAAAGCAAGAGAACATTAAATAATATATCTCATTCTGGGAGGATTTGCATTTAGCTATAAACTCTCATTGACTGTAGTGAGTGAAGTGGTGAAATTCAAGCAGTGGTTGCAGTTGTGTATTTCATTGGCTTGGCATTACCATGAATCCGTTTAAGCTCTAAAAAACTCAAGGGATAGTATATATGTTTACTTTTAAGGGACAAACATGAGTTACAAGCTCTCAGTTTCCATGTGATCATCACTTCTGAAGTTTCCATTCCTGAATGGTAAAGTAGGTCATGGAAGCAGATAAGTTGCAAGTTGCATTTATCCTTGTGGAGATCTTGTTTGTTCTTTTATTTAAGATAACATAAAAGTTCATTCAACAAGCATCTTGTGTAAGGCAAATGTTACTTTCTAGTCCTTTTTATCAAATGGTCTCTAGCTTTTCAACATACTGTTCGAAGTGCATTTACAACCTGTAATTAAAATTTTTCTTTTAAAAATTAAGAGGGCTCAAATCCCAGTAACTAACGTTTTTGCATGTCTTTCAAAACGCAGCAGTAAAGAAAATGTCAAAGCAAATAAGCGTGAAATCGGTAACCCCAGATTTGCACAAGCATGCAAAGAGAGGATAAATACAATTTTTTTTTTGTTGTGACTGATTATGTGCCAACCTCACTGGTGCTTGTCCAGCTGCCAAAGAATAAATTCCCTAAAATATCTAGAAATTCAAAATTCCTTATGAGTTCAGGTTAATTAAGAAAACCTTAAGGAAGCACACCTTATGTAGCGTATTTTCTAATACAGATATACAAACAAACAGCTGTATGTTCAGAAAGTAAACTTCTGTGATGACCTGAAATAGTAATGTGGTTCTTTTCCAAGTGTATTTCTTGTGCTGTCATTGTCATCTAAATTATCTTTATCTAATCTGCTTCAGGAGCTGGTGGCTGGTCCCCGCTGGACTCAAATGAGCAGCAGTGGCTCCAGGTCGATCTGGGAGACAGAGTGGAGATTGTTGCAGTTGCTACGCAGGGCAGGTACGGGAGCTCAGACTGGGTAACCAGCTATACACTGATGTTCAGCGACACCGGCCGCAACTGGAAACAGTACAGACAAGACGACACCATCTGGGTAGGTCTGAATTGTGGATGTTGTTTGTCCCCAGATCTTCCTGGTTGGGCTTATTTTGGCATTTGGAGAAGCAGCTTTGGTTTCAGATCAGAGGAGTGATGTAGTGGTGAGAGAGCAGGCTCTGCAGAGTGTTTTGATCTAAGTGGGTTATGTTACTTACTGTCTATGTAATACAAGTTTAGGCCCTCAAGACTACATTACTTTTCAGACTGAGGATGCTCAGGGCACTCAAAATGACCTACACGCTTCTGTGCCTGGTTGGCTTTGATTCAGGCACACCAGGGTAAACGGAGCTAATCACCTACATAGTTTCTCCAGGAAATATGAAAATTAACTCTGTGTCTTATGCAAGCTTGCTAGTCAGAACAACAGAGCTCATGCTGGGGGAGGTGGGTGGTAGATTGCTCCTCGGCTGGAGAAGGCTGGAGCTTCAGTGAGTTGTGGGATGATTTAGCAGATGCGCTAAAAATGCTCAAGGCTTTTCCTAAAATTTTAATGCAGCCTTGATGCTTGCTGTGTCACAAGTTCAGCGTGTGACAGGTGCTGTGATTAGGACTGCTTGCAGTAGCAGTACCACCTCAGGTGTGGGTGGAGAGTTTAAAAGTCTTCCTTTTATATGGAAAATGTGAATTGTTAACAAATGTTAGCATCCTCTCTGTGCTATGTTCTGTAGTTCTGAGGGAAAAATAGCCCTAGTAGCATAACAGTATGTGGTGGTAAATGAAATGCATTCTTCGTGAAAATTAAAGGAGACGTTTTAAAAGTGACAAAATAGAGTTCTGGTTTTGTGTTAAATTTTTGTTTGGTTAACACCTTGGTTAAATACTGTGTTATGAAAGCAGATTATTCTTCCAGAACTTAATGACTGTGAATGAGGAGAGTTGTGCAGCTGGAAGAGGAAAAAAGGGCTGCTTGGCTTTCCTCCTGAACATTTTGCAGACAATCGGGGTGCTGTAGAGGGAGGTTAACTTTTGTCGTTTTAAAATCCATTGCACTGACACTGTCTTTTTATCATGGTTTGATTTAGGGAAAGTGAATGAAATCCTTCTTCCTTTAGAAAGGCAACTTTGTCCTAAGGATGATTATAAAGTTGTCAAGTGTGGCTCTGCTTCTGTTGCTTCTGAAGTCATATTATTAGGCTGTCTTTGCTCCAAATACTTACACCTGTTTGTTTGGGGTATTGTTTGGTTGGTTGGTTGGTTGGCTGGTTTTGTTTTGGTTGCTTGGTTGGTTGGTTTTGTTTTGGTTTTTTTTTTTGTTGTTTGTTTGTTGGTTTGTTTGTTTTAAACCAGCGGAATTTCATTCTGGACTAAATATAGGGATCAATTAACCTGCCTCTTGACTTCTGCCCTTACGACTCAAAAATCCAGAACTGAGATATTTTTCGCACATGTGGTGTCATTAAGTGGTTCTTTCCCTGAAAATATTATATGCCTTGTTAAAGTTTTGTATTAAGATCAATTAATTTTTTATTATGTTTAACTCTTCAGCCCTTTCCTTTTTGGAAACCCTTGAACTTTTATTTTATTTTTTTTTCTTAAATGGAAACTTGAAAGGACAATACTTAGAATTTACCATAGCAAATCTTCATGTCTTAAGCATCTAGTTCTGTAAGTTTCAGATCTGGCACCTAATAAAAGCAAACCTAGTGGGCTTTGACAGTGAATTAGAATTTATGATTAACCTAAACTCCCTTGGTTTCCTTGATGATATCATAGCAGCCTTCCAGTATATGAAGGGGGCTGTAGGGATGCTGGCGAGGGACTATTCATTAGGGACTGTAGTGACAGGAAAAGGGGTAATGGGATAAAACTTAAACAGGGGAAGTTTAGATTGGATATAAGGAAGAAGTTCTTTACTGTAAGGGTGGTGAGGCACTGGAATGGGTTGCCCAGGGAGGTTGTGAATGCTCCATCCCTGGTGGTGTTCAAGGCCAGGTTGGACAGAGCCTTGGCTGGCATGGTTTAGTGTGAGGTGTCCCTGCCCATGGCAGGGGGGTTGGAACTGAATGATCTTAAGGTCCTTTCCAACCCTAACTATTCTATGATTCTATGATCAGGTGAAAAGTTGATTCAGAGCAGACCCTGACACAAGTTCTAAAGTGGACCTGGAAGCTTGCTTTCTGGAGGGGAAATTTTTGTATGCTTTTCTAATGGAAACCACCACAGGTTGCAGGTGATCATTTTGTATATAACTGAGGAAAAATGAAATTAATTTGGATATGGGAAATGTTACACTGGGGAAGGATCTAAATATTTTTCCCCTCATGTTAGTCTCTGCAAGTCACACTGACCATGTGAGCCGGTTATATAATTCCAGTCCAGAAGAACAATTTGCTCCATGTTCGCAGGCAGAGGGCTTGAAGGGATTGTTGGCAAGAATTGCTGAGCTTTGCTGTTGGAAGTATCTGATAGCAGGAATCCAAAGTCAGCTCATTTGACATTTCATTAGGCTCTACAGTCCACCTAAACTGGCAAGTCTCATTAACACCCAGGAGCTTCTATGCCTGCCTATGGAATTAATGAAGATCAAGAATTCCAGCTGTATAATTTTTATGCGAACTAGAGAGAAAGTTGATTCTTTTTTTCCTGGCACTTTTGGATTTGTTTCGTGGAATTAAATTAGGTCTTGAGAGCCATTCAGAGCACAAAGAAGAAAGCCAAAGAGGTTTGCAGAATCATGTATAGAATTTTAATTCCAAATTTTGCAGCATTTGTTTTGTTAGCAGCAGTCATTTCCATAGGCTTTTTACTAAGAAAAATAGTGTGCTGTCCAGCCACATGTTGAAGGTTTCCCTAAAAAAAGTCAGATGCTTGGACAAAATGAGGACAAGCTCGCGATGGTGCTTTTCTTAAACATCTGGCTGTTAAACAGCTGTAAGAAAAGATCTGCATTGCTCACTTCTAGAAAATAACGTTAACCTCCCTTAAGGGAAGGCAGCGGAGTGGACCATTTCACAGAGCTAGGAAAGCAGTGTCGCAGGGTAACCTCCACTGCCACGATTTGTAACAGTGTACACTGTATCAATCTGTCGCAAGACTGGTAGCTTCAACCTTAGGAATCTGTACCTCTGCTGGTTTGGCTGGGATAGAATTAATTTTCTCCATAGTACGTAGTATGGGGATATGTTTTGTATTTGTGCTGAAAACAGCATTGATAATACAGAGATGTTTTAATTATTCCTGAGCACTGCTTACACAGGGTCAGGGCCTTTTCATCTTCTGCCTCCTCACCAGCAAGCAGGCTACAGGTGCACAAGAAGTGACCCCAACTGACCATGGCTATTCCATGCCATATGACATTATGCTCAGCATACAGAGCTTGGAGAAGGTTGAGTTCTCGGGGACTGACTGCACATTGGTTTATTTTCATTTACGTCACTTGTCTTTCTTTGGTTTTATTTCTCTTTGCTATTTTCCTTTCCGTTGCATTACTGTTGTTATTATTGTTGTTACTATTATATCTTAGCTTATTATTTAGCTTAGCTCCTGGTTGGGGTTAAACCATGACAGTCCTTTCTGCTGCCCAGTGTGGGGCTTGAAGGGTTTAGAATCATAAAATCATAGAATAGTTAGGGTTGGAAAGAACCTTAAGATCATCTAGTTCCAACCTCACTGCCATGGGCAGGGACACCTTACGCTAAATCGTATCACCCAAGGCCTCGTCCCACTTGGTCTTGAACACTGCCAGGGATGGAGCATTCACAACTTCCTTGGGCAACCCATTCCAGTGCCTCACCACCCTTACAGGAAAGAATTTCCTTCTTATATCCAACCTAAACTTCCCCTGTTTAAGTTTTAACCCGTTACCCCTTTTCCTGTCACTACAGTCTCTAATGAAGAGTCCCTCTCCAGCATCCCTATAGGCCCCCTTCAGATAGTGGAAGGCCGCTATGAGGTCTCCATGTGGCCTTCTCTTCTCCAGGCTGAACAGCCCCAACTTCCTCAGCCTGTCTTCATACAGGAGATGCTCCAGTCCCCTGATCATCCTCGTGGCCCTCCTCTGGACTTGTTCCAACAGTTCCATGTCCTTTTTATGTTGAAGACACCAGAACTGCACACAATACTCCAGGTGAGGTCTCACAAGAGCAGAGTAGAGTGGGCAGGATCACCTCCTTGGACCTGCTGGTCACGCTCCTTTTGCAGCCCAGGATACGGTTGGCTTTCTGGGCTGCAAGTGCACACTGCTGGCCCATGTTCATTTTCTCATTGACCAACACCCCCAAGTCCTTCTCCACAGGGCTGCTCTTAATCTTTTCTCTGCCCAACCTGTAGCTGTGCCTGGTATTGCTCCGATCCAGGTGTAGGACCTTGCACTTGGCATGGTTAAACTTCATGAGGTTGGCATCAGCCCACCTCACAAGCATGTTGAGGTCCCTCTGGATGGCATTCCTTCCCTCCAGCATATCAACTGAACCACACAGCTTGGTGTCATCGGCAAACTTGCTGAGGGCGCGCTCAATCCCACTGTCCATGTCAGCGACAAAGATGTTAAACAAGACTGGTCCCAACGCCGATCCCTGAGGGACACCACTCGTTACTGTCTCCAGCTGGACATTGAGCCATTGACCACAACTGTTTGTGTGCGGCCATCCAGCCAGTTCTTTATCCACCGAGTGGTCCATCCATCAAATTGATGTCTCTCCAATTTAGAGACAAGGATGTTGTGTGGGACAGTGTCGAACGCTTTGCACAAGTCCAGGTAGGTGACGTCAACTCCTCTACCCCTGTCCATCAGTTCCATAGCCCCATCATAGAAGGCCACCAAATTGGTCAGGCAGGGTTTCCCCTTAGTGAAGCCATGCTGGCTGTCACCAAGAACCTCATTGTTTTTTGTGCCTTAGCATGCCATCCAGGAGAATCTGCTCCAAGATTTTGCCAGGCACAGAGGTGAGACTGACTGGTCTGTAATTCCCCAGGTCATCCATTTTCCCCTTCTTGAAAATGGGGGTTATATTTCCCTTTTTCCAGTCATCGGGAACTTCACCTGACTGCCATGAT